AATCCTTAGTTCTAAAATCTTTTAGTGAAAGGTTTCAAATTTTTATTTTCAGATTAACTAAAAAGCACAGAAACAGGAAGAGATACAATCATAATCAGCATTATATAGAATTAAAAAACTAATAAAAATTATATTATTTGTTTCAAATGTCCCTTTACTTTGCAGTTGAGATTCCCTTTTTGCATACCCTTAATACATGCTCAAAATATATAAGAAAGTTCAGTCTTTATAGCTATAAGACTTGGCATCATACTCACTAAACAGAATATCCTGTCAAGCTCCTGAGTATTCAATTTGCTTGCAAAATGGGGGAAGAAAACAATTGAATTTACCCTGCATTTTCCTAAATAGAGATAACTTAGCTATTCTTCCAATACACATTTTTATAATATACCAAGCATACTACTTACATGATCACTAAAATGTTATTTCTCCATTCAATGACAGTCAGGTACAGAGTCAAATGCTCTAAAGGGGAACACCATCTTTTACCTTGCTACCATCTTTGTAAACAGAAATGTGATAATATAATACAATTAAGATTTCAAGTATCATCTTTTGCCATGAAAACAATTGAACAATGTGTTTTAAAAACCCAAACAAAACCCCACCAAAAAAAAAAAATCAGAAAAACCAACAAAACATCTATTATTTTTACAGCCATTACATTTCTGTAGGGAATGATCTCTAGACAGTACAACTGACTGAGCACCCAGTGACAGGATTTATGTTTAATCATATTTTGTTCAATGTGATGCTTTAGATAAAAAACCTGCTTATCAGTCCTGCTGCTGAATGCATCTCAAAAAGCTGATGTATCCACTTTCTATTATAGTTACTGATTACAGTAACAAACAGTTCTAACACTTGTAAAATATAGGATTAAAGTAGTTACACCCAAGATGACCATCAATTCACAAAAACAAGCAAGTGGAAAAAAAAAGATGTCAGCAGTAGAATTTACAAGCCCATTCATTATACCCTTGAGCTATTAAAATGACATAATTTAACTGGTTCATTGGTTTGCTGTGCAAGAGTTCAGCACTGATAAGTTACCTTTGGGCTTCTCTCACTCTGTTCAGTTGAACGTTGCCTGTGTCCCATAGCAAGGAAAAAGTAACATTGACCTAAGAACTCCTTGCCAGACAAATTAGCACAAGTGCAAACCTCAAATCACAAAATGAAAGCACTGCAGAGATGCAAAGAGGAGGGAGTACTGGGGATGCTACAGAATGAAAGGATCTGAACAATCTCACTTCACAGGCTGGGCTACAGAATGTAAAACACAGTGGAGACATGCTGTATAAGGAAGCTGTTGTCTCCAAGATTTACAGTCTGTCTCATGGTATGACAGCATAATGAGACTAAATTTGAGATAGAAAAGACACAAGTAATCACTGTCAAACAGATGTTTGAGCACCATTGCCCACTAGCTTCATTCACTAAGGCCACCAAGCAAAGGAGACTCAAGGATTTTTCTGAAACTGTGGTTTTGTCTACACCAATCATCAGTGACAAGGACTATATTGGTAAGAGGGGAAAAAAAGTGTCACTGAAATGTTTAAGCCTAATGACAAATAATATTGTCTCTTACCCTAAATCATTGTGCTTTCAAGAAAAATGTGACTAACATAACATCTAACTGGCACATTCCATGTCATGCTCCTGTTCCATTTCTGTTGTGCTCAGGAAATAGTGCCTCTTGACAAAAATCTTGAAGGTGTCAGAACTCCAGTAGCTATTTCAACAAAAGAGAGGTACCACGTTTCATCTCTTCACACAGGACAAGATCCTCACCTACAGGTCTGGAGAACTGTCCCTAGAGAGGACAGTCATGTTCCATTTCAGAAGAGAAAATGGTACAGTGGAGATCGCTGTTCGTAAGGCCTGGGGGGAACTGGGGCTATTCACCAATATTTACTCATAGGCCTGAACCAGGCCAGAAACATTTGCAATGAAAAACAGCTCCCAGAGAAGACAAGGTGACTTCTGCAGTATGATGTCACTTTGCATCCATCAGGATTTAAAGAAAAAATTTAACCTGTTAGTTGCAATACACTTTGATTACTAATTACTTACCAATTACTCATGAACTACCCAATTCCTAACTTTATACTATCATAGCACTATCAATATGCATGATAAATTGTGGCACACAACAATCCAGTCTGTCACCTTCTTCCTAAGGGGATTGAGAACAGGCAGCAAATCTTGTCAATTCTGGGACTTTATCAAGGACAAAAATCAATCACAGAATGCCAAGCTGCTTCAGACACCTTCATGTAAGGGAAACAGAACTACAGGCTTTCTCAAGCTACTTCTAAACATGAGTTGAAGACTCCTGCATAACCAGTGAGATACCATGCAAACCTTTTCTGAAAGTGTCACTATGTTAGAAACCCTAATTTTAAAATATTTGCTATTACATATCTGATCATCTACAAAATCACCCAAGGCTGCACATATGCAAGAAACAGGCACGAAACAGCAGACAGTAGCAATCCAAAGACCACTTGTAACATCAAGCTCCAATTACAGGAAGGAATGACAGAAGCAGAGCAAAAAAAAACCCAGTCCAAAATTCATGTTTTCATTCGAAGCAACTCCTCATATCAATTATACGCAAGCAATTCAATTTCAGATTAAATTTTATAAACAAAGGAATTTTTTCAGTGGCAAATACTGAATCATCCCACGTATAAAAAAACCCTTCAATTTAATAACAAATTTAGAATTAAATTATTAAATGTATTACCTTCATAAGATAATATATTAAAATAGTAACTGAATAACACTATGCATACTTCCATCTTTTATTGCTTAAGGGGCTTAAAAGGAATAGAGGATATGAGGAAAAGAATAACTAAGTGTGTTGTGTATAAAACGCCGGAACACTTACGGTAAAAGTCTTGAAAACAACCAGAATAAAAATTCTTCCCCTTAGATAAGAAGATGCCACGAGCAGTTGTGTTGTCAGGTAGGTGTTATGCATTCAAATTACTGTGGCACATTTGGATTTAATTAAAATAATTCATAAATCACTGACACAACAAAAGTACAAGTGTGAAGAGCCAATTAACCAAAAGGAAACCTTTATGCAGAAATTGAAAACCATATTCATAGGAGCAGGAAAAGCACTTTCCTTTTACATCATAAGAGCTAAACTGATTAGCACATGGCAAATTTAGTAAAGATTGCTCCAGACAGGAAAAATGTCTTGAGATAAAAGCCTGCCTGATATGAAACAGAATTCTCAATTTTTTAATTTTTTTTTTGCACAGGGTAATAAAAACTGACAAGCATGTTAAGAAAATGCTGCTACAAGGAAAGAACGAGGATGTCCAGCCACTTACATATATTCAGGGAAACTGCTCTAAGAAGGTCAGCATGAATACCTTGGACAACAAATGTCGACAAAAAGTCTAGCAAGAGACTGAGAAAAAAATTTTAGAACACCAAAAGAAGTCAGGAGAAAATAATATCACCTCCATAACTGCTCTTCACATTCATAGAAGAAAATCAGGTAAACAAGGGTAAATAGAGAAGAGAGATAAATAGTAAGAGAAAGAAATATCATCTATCCAAGCCAGTAACTGACGAGGTGCATGGCAACATCCTAATCAAAAGGAGCCAGAGTCAGTCAGCAAGGCTGTCAGTGGAACCACGAAAGCTAGACCAAGTAACAATGGCAGCACTGTGTATATCTGACCAGCAAAATAAAAATGAGAGAACTGCAATAACTGAAGCAGGATATGAAACTAAAGATGACAAACACTGTTCCTAGTTTTTATGATTGAAATGCAAGGATTTCTTCTCTTAAGAAGTACAGTGCAGAAACAATGCAGCATTATGCATTACCGATGCAATCCCCTGGAAAAGGTGATTCCTGCTTCTTGAAAGATTAGGATATGGCTGATCTAACAAGGACTTCCACAGACTGCTTCACATGGTGCTACAGGCAAAGTAACCATGTAAACGGGGACAAAAAAGTAACCAGTGCAACTGAGGTAAGAAAAAAAAAAAAAAGGCAAAAGAGGAAAGAACTGCTAGTGCTCAACAGAATCTGCTAAAGAAAAGTGAATAATGCAGTTTCTTAAGGGCAAATTTTGAGACTAGTTTCATTGATATTACTTGAGATACTTGAAATGAGTAATGTTGGTTATTAAAGAAGATACACAATAATAATATTTACAAGACATCATCAACCCAGAGGACATAAGCTGATGGTACAAAAAGGGCTGAAGAATTGCAGCAAAGCAGACTGATATTTAATAGCACTAACTACAAGGTCACAACCTCAAGGACTCGGTCTTCATCATAAAGTGGGAAGTTACTCATCAACCAGTAAGAATGAGACAGAAAAGAGAAATACAGGGGTTTTTTAGTCAATTTCTGGACAATTACAAACCACAAATATAAATATAAAGTGTAAAAAGGTAAACAAAATTGTAGGTAGTATGACAAACTATGCATCTCATACTATGCATGCCTATATTAATAAAAAAAAAGTTATTTTCACTGTGTTTGCTCTTTTAAATTAATTCTCCTTGTTCTACATGTCCAGTGGAGCTAAGGACTGAGCTGTATTTTGAGACACTCACCAGTTCAGGTTTATATTCAAACAAAGATACTGTCCAAACAAAAAGATGGGCAGGAAAACTTTCCAGTTTCTATACAAAGTGAAGCCTTTCTAAAAACCTGTAAGATTTACTACGATCAATTTTCAAGTAGTTTTGAATGGTATACACAACAGCAGGTACTTCTCCCCTGCCTAGCAAGAACAAATTGTTATATAAGTCATCAACTACTTTGTAAAAACATGTTGGAAGATTGTGTTTCTGTTTAGACAAGGGAGGTACTGTCTGCAGAAACTTGCATCAAAACATCACCTGTAAAATCTGCTGACTATTAGGGCTGATTTTCTTACTCAGAAGTCACAGGTATAGCTTCACTTATTAGCAGCCAAAAGGAGCAGGAGCCACCCACCTGAGGACCCTTACCACTAAATGTTGAATGTGGTCCAAACTTTTCAAGATTTTATTAGCAGAAATTCTCATCTGCAGAAAGTGAATGGGTATATTATCATGTTGGATTGCCATATTAAAAAATACCACAGCTTCCCTTCCATTCTGTACTATAAAAGTCCTACTTTTTCTTCTTCCTGACTTTTGTTTCCTCTACTCTCTTGTTCTGTCTTAGTCTTCCTGCTGCACAGCCAGCTGCTACTTCGGGCCTTGTGAATTTTAAGAAAAACCTTTTCAGTTAATGTGAGAGGTCTCACTGTTCTCAATTTTTTTTTCAATTGTCACAGGAAGAAACAATATGATCCTGGAGAGAATATATGAAAAAGAAAATTATTTAGCAAGGTGAAAAATTAGGTCAGACTGTTGTGGGCATCATAATTTAAAACTAAAAGTTATTTTTATAAGCAGTTTAAAATAAATTCAAACCTACAGTGTACTATAAACATTTTACACACTTGGTAATTACACATCTTAATGCTTACTAAGCACATCAAGAGATGATATTAGATTTGCTTATAAGCCATCTGTTACCATGCAAACAATCAGTTAATACATTAAAAATTTGTTAACCCTTCACAGGTGATAAGGTCATGTTGTAATTGGGAGTAACACCAGCTACTTCCATGTTAATTCATTAATGCTTTTAACACATCTATTTCACAAAGCAAGATACTTCAGCAGAATTAAGCAGCAATTTCCAACAAGGAATTAGGAATTTTCATTTCATCCAAAACAATTTTTAACCATTCAAATGTTTTAAAACAAAATGTTTGCTCTGTTTATTTCAGCAATTTCCAGAAGAAGCTACAATTCCGAAGAATCTCTTTAGGATATGAGTTACCTGCAAAAAAGAGCCTCACTCAGGAATAAAACCCAGAGAGCTTTGGTGGGTGCATTTCTTTGTTGTCTGACATTTCTCATTAAAAGATCAGCTTTAAGTTGCCTACAGTGTTGCTAAAAGTAAGTTTTTAGGATGAATCTTTTTAAGCTGAGCACCTTTACAATGATTCTTATACATAGGTGAATTTCACCAAAACACCCATTTACGACTATGAGATAAAAAAAAATCATATATAAAAGATCCATGATAAAGCCATAATGAATGCTTTTCTCATTTATGTCAGAAGTGGTTTTTTTGTCAATTTGTGTGAAAATCCATCCCAAGTCATACATTTTGGAAGCTCAGTTTGGGCATGGGGAAAGAAAATCAGTTCTATATGTTCAGACTAAGTTGTCCCTTGGTTAAAATGTCTAAATTTTTAGAATTTAGACCTTCTAGGTAGTATTTCTGAAAATTCCATTCTCTCTGAATTTAATTAAACCTACTTAAAACTCCCCATGCTATTAATTTTGCACAGGACTAAGTGAACACGATTCAGCTTACAACTACAGGCATTTATTGGGCCTTCCACTGTAACCTGAAGCTTTGACACAGAAAGTGGAATAGGGGAGGCCAACTCAAACTAGAAGCCTCATTAAAAAAAAAAAAAAATCAAAATTCAGGAACAGGAAGAAATAGATGTTTGAAGGCAGCCAAAGCGTTCAAGGATGGATAAAACAAAGAAAATGGGCCATGCCCACTGAAACCTATTGACAGTGCTCTGTACTCCTTTCATTAACTTGTTAAACCAAGAACAAAGAACTATGGAGTTGATCAAAGTCTTCTTAACTTGGGTGATGAATCATGCGAAGTTTATCATCCTAACATGCCACAGAATCTGTGGTTTTGCTTAAGTAGTTTATTTAGACTCTAGGAATTTAAAAGAAAACTGTTGCAAATTCTTGCAAATTTTGCAAAGCCATCCAGAAGAAAAGAATTAGGAACAGCAAGAGTAAGACTTCTCCACAATCTGGAAGATGTTCAGAGAACAACCCAAACAGTTGAAGGAAAAGTGGGTATCAAAGAAATTAAGTATTTTGCTTCTTTTCTCTTCCCTGACAAAAAGTTCTTAATTCCTGAGAAACTGGTATGTAGCATAAACTAAAAGTTTTCACAGGAACCGATTTACTGTCTTCATTTTTTCATGCCTAATTTGAGATTAACACAACCATTAAACTCAAGAGACTGCAGTGGATGCTCTGTTTTCAAAGACGTGTTTTCTAAACATTTCAGAAAAATCTTACAATGTTTTAGTCTTCTCAAGCTGAAGAAGAAAATTAATTTCTCCAACTCTGTGCCTCTTATTAACCTCTGCAGAATGGACTTCACATCATCTTTTCTAACACTGTTGTGACAAAGAAGATCAATATCTATCCTGATTGGCACAGTGCTTCTCTCCTATAAGATGTTAGGAAAAACTGACAACTTTATCTCTGGAATGAGCTTGAGAAACATACAATAAAGGTACAAAGCCACTTATCCACAACAAGAAGGAAAAGGAAGACATCAATTAATTGTGATTTACAAATGCTACTTGTAGGTTCCAGGAAAAGTCAGAATCATTTAACTGAAACTTATGGAAACAAAAATATTGACCAAGTCTGAACAAACAAGCAAAATTCCAGTGACCTTTCACATCTTGCATTTTTTAAATTCTAAAATTTAATAACAAAATGATTACACAAATGAAGAACTAATTCCATATACAAAAATTTTACATTCTTCTAACTACTGAGACAATGCTTAGTACCAGTATGTGCAGCATTCTAACAACTGCTTAAAAGCAATGCTTTTGTGAAACACAGAAAAATTAGATTTAAAAAACTAATGAAACAAAACATGGCAATGCTGCCCTAAATTTAGGTACAGAATGTATAAGATAGCCTAAAAATTGTAAAGTCTAGAATAGAAGCAAAATTCAGATATGCACTGTTTAAGATCACTTTCAAACTTTAAACTAAACCGTGCTTTATTTTAGTTTCCCCTTAGTATAGATCTGCTAGGAATTACTCTTGAGTGACCTTAATGAAAGGAGAGATATTTTACCAACTGCTAACAATGGAAATATTCATCATTCACTCAGCAAACTATTTTTTTTCCTTGAAAAGCACCTTGAAAAACACAACTTTTCCAGGTCTCTCTTCCTCTCACATTCTATTCACAAAAGAAGTCCAGATAAAAAGATGAAAGCTGGGAGACATGATCCAAGAAGGGGAAATAGCAAAACTAACTACACCTTCCCTTCTATGGTTCCTCCCAAAGACAGGTAAGTCCTTAATCAAATCTTTCAGGCAGAATTATTGATTCACTGCTCCATATTAATACATTTAATGTTTTTAAGGAAGTCCTAGCTATGTACAGATCAGAATATCAGCTGCCTAACTCTGACAGCTTAACTATGATTGGTTACTTCAAATCAAAACTCTGATCAATAAGCAATTAGTGTTCAATCATAATACTTTCATTATGAAGCAGCCATGTGCTTTTTTCCTGTACCATTACTATGTTTTAGTTAATTTGAAAACGCAGACATTTGTAATTCAATCAAATTTAAAATCTAACAAAAAGTTGTAAAATTCTTCTCAACTACTTAGCTAGAATATGATGTGTTACTTGTATCTGTTACATGGGAAGACTACTGAAATACCACAATATGGGCTCCCACATTTTACTATTCAGAATCCAGCTACAAAAAATGCTAGTTAATAGTACCAACAGAAGCACTTGAGAATCCTAGGTACTTTCCTCTTTTTTTTTTTGTCATCCATGAAGTTGCAGGCTGTCAGTGCTTGTGCATCATCATGAAAGAAAAATGAAGACTGGACTACAATTTAAGAAATAATTTTTAAGGTAACAGTAACAATACTAAGTGCAGTTATCTACTAAACTGTCATGAAGCTAGAGCCCAGAATGACAAATTTAGACTAAAGAAATACAGTGTTTTAAAAATTAATCTTTAAATAGACTAATTACATAGTTGCATACAACTATTTCTGCCTAAAAAACCCTCCAGATTTAAAAAAGGTTTTTAAAATCAGTCACCAGAGTGTATTAGTCAGTAAACCTTCTTTACTCATAAACACAAAACTTTGATTGTTACACTCCTGAATGTTCCAATACTTGAACTCTATACATATATACACACTTACATTTAAACACAAACTAACTGCATGTTAGAATTGGCATTTTGTTTAAGTATGAAATATTGAATATAAAATTTCTAAATTTAGCTTATAATTTTATCTAATTCTAACTGAAAACAATGAGGAAAAAAACACCATACCAAAACACTTTCCCAAAAATTCTTTCTCAGTCTCCCTGCAAAAGATTAACACATTAAAACTATCTTTATACACAATAAACATCACCTTATTTATTTCTGCCAGAGAAATATTTATCAGTGAAGCTGCCAATGATGGTTTGATGCATGCCAGAATCTTCAGAGCACAAAGTGCAATGCATTTTATGTTTCTAAAGAACATTACTTGGGAAATGGCAGAACTCAGCACAGTTTCTGGAAAATTGTTACAGTGTTGCTATAATTAAAAATCCACAAGGTGGACATACTTAATTAGATACTGGTCTGCAAACTTTTAATTCCTTCTCTATCTTCCCTGCAAAGAGAATTTCTGATCCTTGTTTCCAAGGATCTATTTCAGGCACTATCAATCCTCCTAACCCACAAGCTGTGTCCCAATATCTTCACATGGCCAAAAGCCAAAAGAAATACACTATTTACCTGAGACAAGTGAAGGGAAATAGAATAGTGGGAGCAGCACAGAAGCAGGAGATGACAATAGTTCTGTACAAGCCCCACCACTCTTCTGGAAAATGGAACTGAGCCACTGCCGGGAGAACGGTGTCCTCCCAGGGACAACCAGTTAATGCCAGCCTCAAATGCCAGAGCTGAGGGGCACCTCACATAATAGCACAACACCCTGCTGGCCACACGGCAGCCAGGCACCCTTCACCTGAACCAGTCAGCAGGCAAAGCACGTTCAGAAGAACAAACTGGCCATGTTTTTGTATTTCCTATCTGGCCTAGTTCCACATCTGTTCCCATGATCTCGTCTCCAACTCTTACTTCCAACATTACATTTCATTCCAGACTGATCACTTCTCTTTTTCCTTTCAACCATCAGCTTTATATCTCCCTTTTTTTTAATACATTGGTATATGAATGTAGTCTCCTTCAAAGCATTTTTAGTGGCCTTTCCACACCAATCACAAGGCAAACACCAGCAGAATTCCTACCAAGTGGTATTGTAAACCTTCTGATATGTTCTGCAGCACAACTCCTTGGGACAGACACCAATTGATTTTGGCATACAAGATGCACAAAAATATTACTCAAATTAAAGGATGAAAATATCTAGCATATTGCTTTATATACGTTTTAACAGAAACATTTTCAAACTGGACATTTTTTTCCTAGAACAAGATATATCAATAGCTGAGTATCAACTTTCTTCAAATGTTATAGACTCAGAACGCAAATCTTGGTTATAGATCTTTTCTGATCAAAACTTGTGATCACTGCAAAGACCTGAACTACAAAATAGCTCTCTCATGTTATTTCAAACAGTGAACATATTAATAGTTTTCTTCTTTCTTAAGGAAGCCTCATAATCTTAACATAAAATAACAGGTTAACACTAAGAACTTGCTAATGTGCATAAGTGTGTTGCTAGAAAGTTTACTGGAAGATATTTCCAAAGTACCACGCAGTTATGGGGGGTGGCACATGTAAATGGATAAACCTGCCAGAACTACTTGATAGTGCTGACAAGCAAAACTTACTGTGTCAACATATTGCCCAATTTAGGGGTGGGGGAAAGAAGAAAAAAAAGACAACCAGGACCTTGGCAGCAAAGATTAAACTCTTAGACTAATTTGAATTTTCTTTTTTTCAGTGTAACTAAACAGTTGCCTCCTACCAATAGGATGGTTTCAGAATGTCTTTGGCATTTCGTTAAGTATAGCAGCAATCAACAGTAACCCAGATGAAAAATTTTTAATAAGCAAAATTCAGCAGCTTGTATTAAAAAAAAAGGAGCCTAATAGGAAGAAAAAATACAAGTGTTCTGAGTCTCTGAAATCAGACTGCTATACCGGCTGCTGCTGAGAATAGCCTAAGCATTTGCTTTCAGTTGAACATGAAAATACCAGGTTAAATTCACAGAAAACAGGTTTCCAAATTTACATATTGGCTAATACTTTAGCTTTTTGAAACCTTAATTTCAAAAGCAAAAGAACTTTTCTTTAAAAGCAGTTATCTGGTTTTTTCTCCTCATGATGAGTAAATGTCTGCCAGTTTAATTCGTGACAATTTACAGTCACAATAATAAAGTTCTGTATTCATTAAAGATGTATCTCACTAACCAAACCACAGAAATAAGACCATTTACTGTTGTTTTCACCACTAATTCAAATATACCAAAATTTGTAATGCCTTACATGTAGACAATTAAAAATACTTGTAAATTGAAACACATTTCCCACTACTCAAAAATGACTGGGAGCTATTAGCTTTTGTGGTGCTGTGCTCTGTGCAACATACTATTTACACCAGGCGTATTGTGGCTAAAGCGTAATCTGCCTTCAGTGCTTCAGAGACATTAACCAGCAGCTCACCAGAAGCCACTCCACCTTCATTTAGGGCAGCCAATAAAAAAATTGCAACTCTCCCTTTAAACAGAATGAAGCAGCAAAATGAAATTTCAGGGCTGACTATAAGATGTCCTCTTTGAATAGGACTGGAAAGTGCATATATTTTACTTCAACGGTCTCCTAAAATCATGAGGGTGGGGGTGCATTTGTTTGATTTCTTTTTTTACTGTGTTTCTAAAACTGTCAATCTAAATGCTATTCTTACTAAACTGGTAAGTTACAGATGTTTGAGAGGTCATACTTTCTTAAGAAAACTACTACCTAAAAAGCAAGCATTTGTGAATGATTTACCTGTATTTCAAAGCAGAAAATTTTGACTCATCTGACCAAAACAGCTAGCCTAGAAAAAGTCTGAGGTTCACTTCACCTGGTATGGATATAACTGCAAGTGCAAGCTCTGCTTTTTTCGACTTAAAATGGATTTCACACCATGACAGGTTTCATTCTGCATTAAAATTGCAAATCTTCCATTTGGCCCAGTTTCAGCTGCAATTGATCTGCTTTGTCGTCATAGATTAAAAAAAAACAGTGAAGGGCACTGCAGCTTTAAATATTTCAGAGCTATGTAGCTAGTAAATAGACTCCATTGCAATATGGCTCTGAAGGTCGTGTCCTATTGTCTCTTTTCTCTGCAAATATTCTGAACAACATAAAATGGTTTATTTTATACAATACCTCCCTGCCATTTCTAAACCATGTCAATTGTATTAGGCATTTCCTTACTGGAAAGGACAGATATGCCACTCTTTCCATACACACCCACGCTGCTTCAAGATGTATTCAAAACGTCCACTGTGAATATAACAGCAGGGTGTTCGTATTAGATGTACACAGCTTTTCATATGGATGCCTTATGCAAGCAGACTCCCTGTTAAATCCCACCACAACACAAGGACAATTAGTTATTGCACTGGTGATAAAATAATTAACTGAATTTCAGGTCAAGAAGCATCTTTGGTTAAAATTAACAACCCAGTTAGAAAACTGAAGCCAGCAATTTCAACATCTCAGCTTTCTCACATATGGGAGAATAGGAAAAAAAATTCTAACACAGCACCAAGGGAACGTAGTCTGCTGAACCTGTTTTTCATGAAGGCTACTACCTTTCAGATGCTAAAAAAAGAGCAAAGAGCAACAACAAAAAACCTCCACGCACCACATTTAACAGTAAGTTACAAGAAAAACAGGATTTTAAACCTTAAGCTAGAATAGGAAATCTTCGTGTATGCACTCCCCAGGTTCAACCCCATTTCTTTCATGTAAGGTGACTATTTGATGAAAATATGAGTTATGGAGATGCCAGTCAGACAACAGTAACATGAAACAGAGCCCTACAAAAACCACAAATTTGTGATAGCTGTCATCGTGCAAAAGGTGCATCTAGTCATTTACCTGAAAAGGCAACAGATTGTTGCCATTGTCCGTCCTGAACGCGTTGTCTTCCATCCAGGATTTGGGGGTTAAGGGTGCAGCCCGTGGGAACTTCGGAGGGGCAATGACATTGCTGGAGAAGGGTTTTTTAAGGGGTGAAATAGGATTGAGGGGGGAGGGCACGCCGACTCCCACTCCCACGCCAACCCCCACTCCAACTGCCCTTCGAGGGTCCCTACCAGCCTGCAGCCCACCCCAAGGGTTGGAAGGTGTACTCCAAGCCGCATTTTGATGGTTATTCCAGCTGGAGGAGGAAGAAGAAGAGGCAGAGGAGGAAGACGGTTTGCTGGTCATGATGGGCTGATGGCTGTAAGCAGCATTTCTCTGGGCGAAAGGTGCCTGATTAGGACTCACAGGTGACCTCCGCTGCTGCTGCTGCTGCTGAGCTTGCTGCTGCTGCTGCTGATGTTGGTGGTGTTGAGTCTGAGCTAGGCCAATCTGAGGTGAGAAAGTGCCACCAAATACAGGGTTGACATGGTGTGGAAAATTCTGGAAAAGCATTGTCCCATTGACTGGAGTAATCCCTTGGAAAAAGCTATCATCCACCGTGTTTGTGGTCCCTGTAGACCAGGTGCTGCCAAACGAGGGAGACAAGGAGGTGCCGGCTGCAGGTTCTTGTTGAGGCTGGTGAAAGCTCAAGCCAGGCAAAATGGGAGACTCCATCTGCATCTTCTCCTTGCTATTTTGGGAGGGAGCCGATGTGCCGATACTAGTCACTGAACTGTTGTCTTCTGGTTTGGGTGTCTCCGACGAGATGGGCGTAGAGGGGGCTTCTGCTGAGTTTGGATCTTGCTGCTGCTGCTGCTGCCGCTGCTGCTGGGGCTGGGCTTTGCTTTTGTCCATCAGTAAATCATCCTGCATGGTTTGCGCAGCTGAAACAGTAGGGGAAAAAACCACAAAGACAGATTATTAACATTGTCATTCATACCACAAGCCAGTCTGTTTTAATAATTTGCCAGCCAAAAATTTCGTCCTATTGCTAGTACTATGCTACAGCATATTGCAAGGCAAACCCGTAATCTTCCCCCTCCCCCATTTAGGAATATGTAACCCTTGATCGTGCTAGATTGCCTTTAAAATATTTTTTAAGATGCTTCACCCTTTTTGATGCCTGTTTCCCTTCAGTCTAAATGAGAGGTGTGCTTATAGGGCAGAGATATACAGCAATTTCGCCACGTCTCTTTTCTCTTACACCGGAACTCAGAGCTCTCACCCTGCAATGAGAAACTGATTCTGGTTCCTGTTTTTCCAAGCACCCTCCTCCTCCACCTCCTCCCCCTGGTTATTTGCATACGTCAATAAATACTGCTGCGTCCTTCAGCAAGGTTAAAAAGACACCAGTCTTCGCTCTTCTCCACCCCCTTTTCTATTAGGGGACCTTTAAAGGAGCCGGGTGCCGATTTTCCTTAATTAACGAGCAAGCTGGCAGTGATTGAGGTTTATCAGAGCGAAGGCGCGCAGGGACGCTGGCGCTGACACGGGAGCGGCTCCGCGCTGCACAATCGCTTCCTGCGCGCTCCTGAGCCCAGCCCGCGCCGGCTCCGGGCAGCGCCGGCGATGGCACGGCCGGGAGGGGGCCGGGGGCGGAGACACTGCGCCTACAAAGACACCGACGGCTGCTACATTTGCCTTCGGTGACCTTACGATCTCTCCGCGTAAAACGCTATTTTACATCAAAGCAGTCCTTTGCTTGATGGTATAGCTGTCTACTCGCTCTATTTATATACATACCCGCTCTATTTATACACATACATATGAAATCATCGGTGATTTGTCCATTAGAAAAACCTAAGGTCAAAATCAGCAGGCTGGAGAGGTATAATTAGACCATGATCTTTCCGATGCTTTCAGATAAAATATAAACCCAGGGAAAATCGAAGTATTTACAATATAGACATGCCGCATGTTAAAAACCATCTTTATATGCACAAGACAAAGACTAGGGATGTAAATTATTTGCTAAATCAATACATAACTTAAAAATTTAGAAAGGAAATGTATGTGGAATGGTTGAGGCTTATATTTGCTAGAAAAGGTGCTCCATATGAAACAGAGCAGATCATGTAATTTCATTATTATTTAGAGACCTAATAGTACTAATACAATACAGACATCAATGAACAGCAATTGTATGAAATCACAACAGGAACATCCGTATTTTGCAGGCTTTTAGTCAATTGAGGAGATCATTCTAAATCTCAAAAGTATTTTAAATGAGCCCCAAATCACGTACTTTAATTGAATAACTATGTCAAAGATGGCCATCGCAGAATACCTAACTGCATTGCTATTGAGTTCATCATATGACATTTACACGCCTAAGACCGCATTTTTTAGGATTGTTTTTGTAATGTAACAATGTAAAGCCAAATCAATTAACTGTTTAAGAAAGGTGGCAAAGTGTGAAACTGTCAGCACTGTCCTTTCTGACATCAGATGGTCCAGGTGTTTTTTGTTCTTTCCTTTAAATATCTTCTGAGGAATACACACACATTTTAGTTAAAAATGAACGTCAGGAAGGTTTCTGCTATCTAGTCAGTTACTGCTTATGCTCCCCCTGATTTACCAGCTCAATATGTAAAACGAGCAGCAAGGCTTCCTAAGCAGACCATGCAGTGAGACAACATTAATCTCCTAAGGACGGGGTAAACCATTCCATCTGTTCCAGGCAGCGCTGCTGCTGCTGCTGGGAGTGCAGAAAACCTTGCAAGGCATTTTAAAGCAATACTGCAGTAAAACACAATATACCAAGCTCTGTCTGTGTAACTTTCCATTAGCTTCACTTCTACCCACATCACTATTACTCCTAAGGCTACATAAAACTACTGATGACTACACATCAGAGGGAGAAAAGGATTATATGTACCCCTCTCCCTTGGATCTGAGCTATCAGTATAAAAATACATTTAGAGAAAAACGCACAGCAGCTGAAATGTTAAAATTCTGTCGTCAATAAAGTTATATTTAAATTAGTTAGTCACCAAGTTATCTATAGTGGCTAGTACAGTAGTTGCTTCAAATATGTACCTTGACTTAGCTAGCTGGTTTTGAACTTTATCCTAAGAACCATGATTCATATTCCCTTCCATAGTGCTTCTTAAAGGCAAAAATCACTGCACAGTTCAACCCTCTTGTCAAGGTCAAGACCTTCCTTAATGAATGAAGCCAGTCCAAATTAAAAAATACTGGTTAATAAATGACTTTGAAAGACAGGCCAGCCAATGTCTAATGTTGGACTAGTATGCAGTACTCTTGATTATTTGCTAGTGTAAGTATTCCTACAAATTTACAATCCAGTACAGGAAATCTATATCCCCATAGCAATACCAGCTCCACTTGCATGCAGAAACCCACGCAACCAATGCAGAAATGTTTAAGGAACAGTTACCTTTGGATTTTCTGTATTTTAAGATCAACAAAAGGACAGTATATTTATTTCCTTCCCTCAGGTTTGGTATATGACAAATAGCCGACCAGCCTGGCAAGAGCACTTTGACAACTGGAAGCCTTCAGCGCATGCTCTCCCCAAGGAATCATGGGGTTTGAAGTCTTACCTACAGACAGCATTGCACTGCTGCTTCCTGAAAGGAAGAGCGCTCCAAAGGAGAAAAAACATACGTGCACACTCCCTCTTCCCAGGGAAAACTGCTGCAATCTGAATCATCAGCTCTGAGGAAATATCTGTCAGACTGAGCTGAACGTGACTAACTAAATATGAGCTTTTAAACAGTTTGATTTAGAAGCCCAGATTAAATAGCCACCTATTCAGAACAACTGCTAGACAAAGGAATAGTTCCCGTATTTCCCTTACAAACTCCTAGCATAAGAAATTAATTATAAGCTCATACCAGCTATAAAATTTATAGCTGTTACAAAGAAAACTGTGTCATGTTACTTAGCTGAAGAATATATTAATCACGTGTCATAATACATTAATCACGTGTCATAATTTCTAAATATATTCTGAAACTCAAACACAAATAGGTCAAGTATGAACATTTAAAAACAAAATCAGTACATAGGTGAAAAGTTGTACTATTGGAATAGTTTCCAGTTTTCAAGTTACTACTTTTTCATTACTGAGTTGTTACTATACTGAAAATTCTACCAAAAAATAATAAGCTGCTCTGAAGAAAATCAAGGTGTGAATGTTACTATTTAACATTCCATCTATCCTGTACATGGTGGTGCCACACTTGACCTCCCTCCCTTTCACTACACACCATCTACATATCTCCAGCCTCCACATCAACACCCAGCCTCTCACAAGATATTAATACTGTGATCCTTAATGTAGATCAGGTAAAATTTTCAGAATTTCATTCACTGGCACTTTGTGTTCTGTTTTGCACTAGTCCATGAATTATTCTGCATGTTTATTCTGGGTAATTCATAATACTAATTATTCAGACCAAATAGTAATGCACATAAGGAAATACATAGTTGAAATCTGAAGTGTGAAAAAAACAGTGTTTAATAAAAGTGCAGGCTGATTTTCCAAGGATGAAATATGCATAATTCTGTGTGTCAAAGAGAGATGACTAAAGCTGAAAAAAGTAAATAAGGGCAGTTGAAAGTGAGTTGTCCTAACACTTATGTCTCTGCTTTCTGCACTCTGTTTATGTTGGGCTGTATGGTCTGCCTGCCCTAAATCAACACTGTAATTAAGAGTTTCTCAACACTTGCTCTAACCTGTTTGTGCTACTCTGAATCATTAAAGGCAGCAAAACTGTTTTCTTACAGCAGTTGAAAATACTTAATTTAATGAACTATCCCACCTCTCACAGGGCTGGCTCTAGGCATTCTATGCGCCTCCTTTATGTCCCTATTTACTTGTAGGTTATTGCTTTTCAGATGATTTGAGGATTCACATGCAAGGGACTGCACTGATTCTGTCAGCTCTTCCCAGGAGACAGTTTCACTCCATAGATCAATCATTAGGATAAGGAAAAGCACTCCAGAACCAAAGAAAATCAAGATGTAAAGACAGTTTTTGATCAACTAGCCACTAGAAGAAAACAACTTTCTTTTGTTCCTAGCAACCAACTCCCTTATAACTGGAAGTTAAAAGATAGTACTGAGAGCTGAATCAGAACACAAGAGCTTAATTCAATCTGGTAGATGAATTACTTGACCTGGGCCAGTTCCAAAGAAACAAATGTAAGAAAGGCCCAAATAAGCCAAGTTAATTCAATTAACATTGCATAAAGTGTATTTTTATTTTAAGCAATTCATTATGAAGCAATTTAAGCCTCTTTAAGCCTCCTGTGACTAACAAAGCATGCTAGTCTTTTTGACAGAAAGTCACTATTCCAACTAGTTTGAAGGTTAAAATAAAGTGTTATGGTATTAAAAAAAAAACAAGTTTCATTGTAGAAACACATTTTTCAACTTAGATTAGTTTCACTTTAGACTAATTGAGGGCTACTTATTTTTTAAAAAATGGAACCAAGTAGATGAAAAATGCCTAACTGATCTTGTAATTTAATTTTACATATTGGTATCGTAGCAGTTAATATTTAGATTTTCCAAAACAGAATATTCCTATATTGCCAGGTTACTTAGCTTTGTTGTAAACAGTGAATAATTTCCACAGTTTTAATACTGCCAGGTCAGAAGAACCATATTAAGGTACAGCTCCTTCAGTATCTGTCCTCTTTTCCTCTTTTTCAGTCCTCACTGAAGTAGTCATATATACATATATATATTTAATCTACCTCCATGTCATTCTTTCAGTAATTGTTTGTCAACTTCTTTATAAAGCTTAAATCTGTATAAATTTGTTATCGAACCATTTATTATTTTTAAAAGTTGATATTTTGCAGTAAATCCAAAAGCCAATTTTAAGACTCAATTTGAAGCCTTAAATAGCTTATATTGCTTTGGTGACTTTCATTTCATTAGGTTCTGTACTTGTCTTCAAATGTGCAGTTTTACTTAATTTACTTAAAATGGCTGCTACCTCCAGTCAGTGTCTGGGAGCTGAGCTCTGGCAAAGCTCCAGGAAGAGCAGCCACTTTCCCTCACTCTGCACTGGCCAAACAGAGCCTGCTCCCAGGAGAGTTCTCTCGGCTCAAATGGAGCCACTCACGCCAGGTGCAGGTAAGAGATGACAGAGTGAGGCAGAGTGCAGTGAACATCAGAGAAACGGGAGGAAGAAACAAAGAAGGATCTATTAAAGGGCGATATAGGAAGCAATAGTTTAAAAATGAAAAAAAAAATGCAAGAGGCATTTTTGAGATGTATAGTGGAAATTGCCAATGCAAAGAAGGAAGCATAAAAAGCAAAAAATGGGAAGAAAATTAAGAGAAGAGGGATGAGGGAGAGTGAAGGAAGAGATTGTATGGGGGAATAAAGCAAGCAATTGAATAGAGCAGCTGATATCCAGTCTTGTTAAGGAGAATAGAGAAGGATAAAATGACAACTCCTGCTCTGTCTGGGAGTAGGGAAGTGGTTTTTTACAAATTTAAAATCATTTGGTTATATATGTCTTTTAGGATCACACTTTGATTCTGGAAAGAGCAGACAAAGAACATATATCCCAAGCAGTCCAAGAGTTTCCACAAATTGGTTTTTGGATTTCAGAATCTTTAAGCTATTTATGGGATGTTATGGGGTCTGCCATTATAGAATACTTTGGGCTGTACGGGACCTTTAAAGCTCCTCTAGTCCAACCTCCCTGCAATGAGTAGGGAGGTCTTCAACCAGATCAGGTTGCTTAACCTGACCTTAAATGTTTCCAGGGAGTCCACCCTCTCTCTGGATGACCTATGGCCAGTGCTTTACCATCCCCATCGTAAAATATTTGTTCCTTATGTTCAATCTAAATCTACCATCTTTTAGTTTAAAACCACTAAAGCCTGTCCAATTATGCTTTTATGTATCCTAATATGGTTTTATTTCTTATGATTGGAAAAAAATTAGAATTAAAAAAAAAGAAAAAAAGACATGTCCAAACCTACCAAGTGCTCACTATTTGACCTGATATTCAAGTTTTGTCCAGTCCAGTCTTGGCATACCTTCCTGTGCCAGTGGTAGAGCAAAGAAGTCACCTTTGTCACAGACAGTTCCTTAGCTTCAAATGGTAGCCAAGTGATCCTGGGTTCTGGTTCCATTTCTTCAGGTAAATATTCTTCACAGCTATTATTAGCCACTATGACCTTTATCATAAATGGAAGGCAACCAGCATATCCTTTCAATTCCAAAGCAAAAATACAGAAATTGCACAAAGCACATATTCCTAGAAATAAAACCAGCTTCCCTATCTCCATTTGTAACACTTGAGAATAAATGTAAAAAAACCTAAGCTAGGCTAGCCTAGCTGCTCAATGTTCTGGCCAATAGACAATGAGCTTAGTCCAGACCAAGAATAGGAACCAGAAACTCTTGATATCCAATATTGCTCTTACATGCCACAGACAGCTGTAATTGGGACAGTGTGTATTAGGATCTCTTCCAAGAGGTCATGCCCCTGTGGTTCACTCAGGCCACTGTACATCCAACACTCCTCAGCAGTGGTAGCAAAACTGAATTTTATAGTCCCAAGAATAAGTACAAAATAAATTTTCTGGGACAGGATGTCAATGCCGTCTTCCTAAGGTATGGAACATTTACATCTCTGTAAATACTTCAGCATTCCTCTTTATGGTATTTGTAATTAAAAATAAACAACACCCTATTATGCATATAATACTGCTTACAAGTGCAAGTCCAGATGTTTTACATAAATTTTGACAACACTTTCCCACTGACTCTCAAAACCAGACTGATTTGTCCCTCGCTAAGGCAGCACAGTCAAAAAATCCAGAATATTCCCTAAACTTGCCTTCCTATTCCACCTGATGTCTGTTGTCACATACGTGCAGAAGCCTGATCTCAGCCAAGAACAGCTGTAGGCTGATGCAGCTGCACAGTTGCAACCTGGGCTTGGCCCTGTAAATTACAACCTTGAACAGCAACTGCAGTGTAATTTACACAAGGTACAGGGACTAGTTTCACATAGCAAAACCTAATATAAAAGCTGTTCTTTCCAGAAAAGGAAAATTAAAAGTTGATTTTTACTAATGAATCTTTCCAAGAATCTGTCATGTCACAACAGGCTCTGAAAAAGAGGCCATTGCCTTTGCTTCGAGAGCATGACGTGAAGGCAAGAGACAAACACCCATGGTGGAGATAATTGCAAAGACAACTCCTTTCCAGATACTATCCACCTCTTCCCTCTATAAAGGCTCTTCAGCTTCTAAACTTCCAGTTTTTCAGATTGTGACGCTCTAAGTTGACTTCTGAACATACAACAAATTTTAAAAGCAGCTTAGAAGGACTTTTTCCCATTTGGAAGTACGCCAACAAACACAAAAGAGAGCGTTGCCATTACCACCGGCCGTGCCATCCCTCACCCCACTTGCACACAGAAGCCAATGGTCACCGGGCCTCCATGGAGCACCAAGTGCCACTTACAAGGGCGCTTGTCCTTGTCACCGACAGCACCACCACTGAAACGGATTAATTTCCCTTCCGCCGTTCCAGCCACCGCCCTTCTGGGCAGCCCGGTCGGGGCTGGCAGCTGGCAGGATCCCCTCCGCCCTGAGGGCAGCTCCCGGGGCCCGGCGGCCACGCAGGGGCGGGGGCCGCCTGCACCTGTTCGGCAGGGGAGGGAATGCGAGATGCTCCTGCCCGAGGGGGTCCCAGCGGGAGCGGGGCAATGCAGGCGGCCCAGCCTCTCCCTCTTTCCTTTCCTCCTCCCTCCCTCCATCCGTGAGGGGTCCCGGCCGGCGGCGGAGGGCGGCAGGAGGGGCGGCAGCCACCGGGCGCGGATCTTCCCCCCGCAGACCCCGCTCGGCCACCCCGCCGCGCTCCCGTACCTGCCCCGCGCGCGGAGCCGGGCAGCGACTGCGCGACGGCGGCGGCGAGCAGAGACATGGGTAGGGCAGGGGAAGCGCCCCGCCGGACCTTTAAACCCGCGCCGGCGGCGGGACTACAGCTCCCAGTGGCGGCAGGACTGCGGCGGGACTACGGCAGGACTACAGCTCCCGGCGCTCCCGGCGCTCCGGGCACGGGCTCGCGCTCTGCCCTTGGCGCAGGCGCGCCGCGGGGCCTGGCGGTGACGGGCGGCGCGGCTGCGCTCAGCGCTCGCCGCCTCTCCCCGCGGCGGCCCGGGCGCTCCGTCCTGCCCCGGCCACCGGCCTTGCGCCGCGTCCCGCCTGCCGAAGGAGGGGCCGCCCCGGCCGTCCCGCGGAAGGGCGGGTTTGCCCCCTTCCCGTTCGCTCCCCTTTCTCCGCCGCTGCACGCGTGACGCCTTTGTCAGGCTCAGGGCCCACGGCTGGGCCCGCTCCTCCGCCCGGGGCCATGGCCGAGCAGACGGGCTTGGCGCTACCGCAGACCATGGACAGGTACGGGGAGGGAACGTTCGGGCTGGGCCTGTGAGCCCCCCGCGGCGGGTTTGGGGCCGGTATCACGGGTCCGAGTTCATTTTTTGCCTTCTAAAATCCTTGGTGGTCTGGCAGAAGTTGTGCGAGCACTGTCGTAAAGCAGCGTAAGGTAGCGCGGGCAGTTAAGGGGAGAGGAGGGCTCGCTCCCACAGCCCTCGGCCACAGGAGCTGGCTCTGTGTGTCTATATGTGTATGTGTCTGTGTGTGTGTGTGTCTGTCTGTGTCTGTGTGTGTGTGTGTGTGTCTGTGTGTGTGTGTGTGTGTCTGTGTGTGTACCTGAGCTGGGCGGGCTCTGGGACAGCCGGGGGCTGCAGGAG